TAAATCCATTAAGTTATTCTGTGTCTTTTAATTAGAGAATTTAATCCACTTGCATTTAAGGTAATTATTGATAGGTTAGGTCTTATTACTGCTGCCTGCCTTCCTTCCTTCCTTCCTTCCTTTCTTTCCAGGGGATTGAACTCAGGGCACTCAACCACTGCGCCACATCCCCAGCCCTGTTTTGTATCTTAGTTAGAGGCAGATTCTCACTGAGTTGCTTAGTGCCTCACCATTGCTGAGGCTGGCTTTGAACTTGTGATCCTTCTGTCTCAGCCTCCTGAGCCGCTGGGATTACAGGTGTGCACTACCACTCCTGGCTCTTTGTTTCCTTTATGTCCTTCCTTCCTTCCTTTCTGTTTGATTTTCATAAATTAATCTTTCTCAGTGAAATTTGTTTTTCTGATGAATTATGAATTGTTTCTCTGTATTTTTTTGCAGTTCATTGTGTTTTTCTTAAACAGCTATTTTGAATCTCTGAGTGTTCTTACATGTTGGTTGCTTTATAATCAGTTGCTGGCATCCATTTTCTTTTTCTCCTTCTCCTCCTCCTCCTGCTGAGGATAGTACCTGAGGCTCCCCACATGCTAGGCAAGCAGTCTTTCACTGAGTCATGCCCCAGCCCTTCTGGTGTCTTATTTTGTCTATTAGGTGATGTTTTGATTTTCTGCAATTTGTTAATGCTCATTAGTGTGTGTGATGTCATATGCATATTAAAAGATTAGGTATTATTCCAGTCTTTATAATTTGTCTTTGTGCCCTTCTTTCCAGAAATTCTGATTTATTTTCTCTGAGCCTGTGGTCACTGTCACTATTTCAGCAGTAGATAGTACCCTAAGTCCTGAGGTGCCATTGTGTTGTTCAAGACAGCCGAGGGATATATCTGAAAGGGCAGTCATTCTCTATAAGCCTTCTTGTCAACTATCCAGATGCCTTGTCCATGGTCAATGATCTGAAGTCAGGCACCATAGAATTTTGCCTGGCACAGGCCTCACTGTGGAAGGTCCAGAAACAACTAGTGCCTATCTCCCTCTTCATTCTGCAATGGACAGTAACTCTCTCCATGTTGTGCTGCCTGGTATTGTGGAAAGGATGGGCAGTCCCACGGACACCATGGCTGCTTCAGTGCCAGTTCGTATCAGAAGCCAATAGTCCTCTGATACCAGTGCAGCATGAGGCAGGACCAAGGCCCTTCCTGCTATGACCTGCCTGCTGCTGTGGTTTCTTTGTGGCCCAAGACCCCTGCAGCTGATTGGATGTGAAGTGGGCTAAAATGCAAGGCTGTCCTACTGGGGCCACAGGTCTCTGCCTGGTGAAGGGTGCATACACAGGCTTTGTCTGAGTCAAAGACTGGGGGTAGGGGCTATAGCATTACTCCCAGTACTGAATGTCACTGTGGTACACCTGGCACTTGGTTTCGTGTCTAAGGTCTATATTCCTCTCTCAAGTGGGAGGTGTCCTTCTCTACATTGTGCTGCTTAGAGTTGAAAGAAGGGTAATGTGAGCAATTCTTTCCTTGTTGCCTTTAAAGAATCTTTCTTATTTGTATGCTAAAAGTAGGTACTGTGATCTCCCATAGCTCTTGTGAAGGTACTTTCATGTGTGAATAGTTCTTGAATTGATGTTTCTGTTGAGATTCAATCTTTGGAGGCTCTTATCCCACCATCTTACTCTGCCCCTTTATTATTAAAATATTCTTTTAATTTACTATTTAAAAGAATATTCATGCAGAAGAAATGTTTGATGTTAAACTATATTTCAAGAATAGTTTTTTATTATAATTCTTTTGTTTTACAGCATCTGTTTTATACACACACACACACACACACACACACACAGACCTGGTGTGTCACAGCCAGCTTGTACTGGCTCACAAAAGCCTACTGTTATTTACAAGCGTTTTATAAGAATATTGATGTTAGAAAAGTGACTTGAAATTAGTTTCAGTGGCAGTATTTATATCATGAAAATTGGCAAATGCTACAAATCAATTCCTTTTTTCCCCCTTATGGAGAGTTAATTGCTAAATGCTTACTAGTTTATTTGTCCCCCATGTATTTACTGAAATAAAATAAAGTGCTGTTTGCTTTGAAAATGGTGTTTATATGAAAATTTACTTGGGAACAAATTAGTTAATTTTTTCCCTCTGCATTTTCAGGGATACGGAAAGACCGAAGAGGAGGAAGAATGTTGAAACACAAGCGTCAGAGAGATGATGGGGAAGGCAGGAATGAAATAGGACCCTCTGGAGAAATGAGAGCTGCCAACCTTTGGCCAAGCCCCCTCATTATTAAACACACTAAGAAGAACAGCCCTGCCTTGTCCTTGACAGCTGATCAGATGGTCAGTGCCTTGCTGGACGCTGAGCCCCCCATAATCTACTCTGAGTATGATCCTACCAGACCCTTCAGCGAGGCCTCCATGATGGGCTTGCTGACCAACCTGGCAGACAGGGAGCTGGTTCACATGATCAACTGGGCCAAAAGGGTGCCAGGTAAGAATGCTAAGCTCAGCTTTTATTTTAAGAGTCTTTTTAAGAACTGATTGCGATTTCATGGGAGAAATAGTGGGAGGAAAAGAAACCATACTTGTTATCTCATTAGTTTCAAAGCTACATCAGAATTTTTCATATCAATACACTATAATTCTCCTAGAATTTAGGAAATAGCATTTTAATATCAAAACCTAGAAGACTAAAATGCTTGATCTGACAAAACTTATTTTTAAGCCATCTTATTTGCCAAAAATATTTTGAGTAGACACTACATGATGAATGTATTACATATCATATATGCATGCTGTCAGAAGTGTTTAATACTATAGGACCTATAAAAGATTTTAATATTGAGCACTATCATTCAAAAACCTCAATTACTAATAAATTATTTTCCTGAAAATATTTTCTTTAAAGATTTGTCTGAACTAGAGACATAATACTAATAGATTTATTCACTGAATGCCTATTATTTATCCAAACTGACATATGCATAGTAGAAATGTAATTGAAAAATAAATTAGGGCATTGTCTCTGAGAAGAGCTTGTGGAAGGACCCAATGGTGGAAGTGACATTTCTGTTGATTCTCTCAGAAATGGTGTTTCCATAAAACTCAACTGCTGCTCTTGCTATTCAGAGAAGAGCTCTAATTAGTAGGGAAACCAGATTCCTCCATGTCCCAACACATTCATTATGCATATCAGGAAGTTTGTACTAAGGCAAGAGGAAGTTAAATCTCTTTTGTGGGCTTATTGGTCAGATGAGTAGTGGATTTAGATAGAGATTTTCTCATATGGTTTCTCCTACCTATGAAGTGTGGAACTTTTTATGAAACTAAAATAATGTGAAGTTTTGTGCGCACATCTCTAAGGTCACTGATATGTTATAGGTTGAGTAGACCTATGTCTGGCCTTAAAGAACCTTACAGGTATTGCATATATCAAATTAATATATAAGCATGTGGTCCTTTGAATAAGAAGCCATCTGTATTGTGATCCACATTCCTTAGAGCACATCCAATACACTTAGGTAATGGTTAGGGTAGTGAAGATTGGCTTACAGGGAAGTCTGGGGATTAATGGGCAAATTTAGGTTTTTCAGGGTAAGTCAACCTGGTAGACAAAAGCTCCTAACCATTTTTGGAATTAAGAGTTTTATTGAACATATATATATTTTACCATTCTTAAGTGAAGTAGACATGTCATCCATAAATTGTAATCTGGATGTTATGGGGCTATAGGTTTTGCTTTATCTTTATATCTGTTAGTACCTTTAAAATACTTTGGAAGAAGAGAAAAACAAACAAAAGAATAAAATGCTAGTGGTCATACCTCTAAGAGCTAACTCTTGGTTGCTGTTTATTGTTCTGTAAAGGTATATTTTCCCTTATGAAATTTTGGCAATATTACTATCTGAGTACTTCTCAACTCAAGTCTGTACTTTTGATATTTATCTGTAGATTACCATTGTGGCATTTTTTATAATTATAAAAATTTAAAATCATTTGAAACAACTGTAAGTTCAAACACAGTACTAGTGGATGAAGAATTCATGGTAATAATATTCTGAATTTAGGAATAAAATAGGGACTCTTGTCAAGGAAAAGAAAATACTTTGTCCATGTTTAGCTATTGCATCATGAACTCAGTACTAGGTAAATTTATAGTAATGAGGTATGTTCAAAAATACCCTGTAACTCCCTTATGTTAATTTAAAAGATCTAGATGACTCCAAAAATCCTTGAACCAAACTCTATTACTTGGTTATTTATTTTTAAAAAGAACTACACAGGCAAAATGAAATTATATACAGTCATGTACTACATAATGGTGTTTTGTTTAGCAAAGGACCACATGTATGATGGAATTCCCATGTGATTTTATCGGCTAGTGATGGTGTAGCTGTTTGTGGAAGTACGTTTTATGATGTTCACACATGATAAGATCACCTAATGATGCATTTCTCAGAATGTATCCCTGCCACTAAGTGACACGTGACTGTGGGGGGTTGGGCACTCGCGCGTGTGTGCGCCATTGGAATAGAGCTTTTATAAGTCAAAAGCCTACTTGTCTGACCAAGCGGAATAAAAATAGTCATTGATTTTAAAAGAATGAAGAGTAAGAGAAGAAAAAGTTGTCCTGGAAGAATTCTGAAGGCAATTGTCAAGATTTTCATTAAAATTTGAGAAAGCCGCATTTTAAAAAGACTTTATATCAAATATTGTCAGTCATTTAAAAAAATAGTTTACACTAAGAATCAAATTCAGACAATGTTACATTTATGTAGTAGTAATTTGAGAGTCATAATAATGGTAACTTTTAAAAGACAGGATGGGAAACATCATCAGCAAGCAGAATAGTGGGGAAGCCATTTCTAGAAATACCCAGAGTTGGTCTTTAGACCATCCTCAGAATGGCTATTAATAGCCATTATGAACAGACCTCATTTTGAGTGATGAATTTTAATAAAGATAATCAAACTTTGGGCTACTTTAGTAGTTCTAGATGTATTTTTTTTTTTTTTTTTACTAATAACAAATTGTCAGAATTTTCAAGTACTGGTGACTGTAAGTTGAAATTCCTTTTGTCTTAATATCTTGGAATATTTTGACATATATCTTTATTAAGAATTAAGATGAGAAGAGTTTTAAGATAAAATACATCACACAATCTTGATAGTCAAGTTCCAACCTATAGAATATTTATTATATCAAGCCAGATTAAACATGACTTTAAGGATTTAATTTTCCCTTCACAATTTACAAACAAAGCCACAACAAGAATGTGAAAACCTTCCTACTCAGCTCTGAGAAGTGATGCTTTTCTATAATATATGCTATATGTCTGCATTTTATTATCTAGCTATAGAGGTTTTTCTCTTTATTGTTTGATCTGTTATTCTTCAATATGCATTTTATAGTTAACCATAATGGAGATTAACTTTAAAAATATATTATTAAATCTTATTACTATTATCCTGTGCATAGTGAAACTAGTCAATAAATGAAACATCATTCAGCCTGATCACAAAGGGGGAAATATTACTACAAAGTTGTTATACTTCTGATATCTATCTGCATCACTTTCAGGGACATCGATGAATGGTTGACTCTTAGTTTCAGTGTTAAAGAAATACATTTGATTTTTTTTGGTTTTTGCTAGAAGCTTGAAAGGCAGCAGCAAAATGTCACTTTGATTTATGAAAAATTAAGTTTTTTCCAAAATGCACCATAATTCTATGTACCTCCAAAGCAATTTCATTCTTACAATTCGTACTCTAGTTTCTACCTATTGAATTGGGAATATCAATTTGGCATGGATACCCCAAGGCAGATTGCCTTTTAAAAACTGATACCCAGAAACCCGACAGCCCTGAACTGCTGGGCACAGGTGTGAGGTGTCCAAGGAGTAGGCTAGAGGCCTGGCCAAGGGAGGAAGTAAAGGAGAAGTGGATCTGGAGCCGGATTCCATGGGACTCATTCAACCTTAACCACTTCCTCATTCTTTTAGGGGCAAACTAGTTATTTTCTCCTTTCTTGCCCATCCCTCTCAACACAATGCTAGAGTCCCTGCTTCCTTCTGGGCTCTGACTCCTGCACCCATCTTACTTCACATTCTCTCCTTGCTCACTTTTGGCCCCTGGGGTAGAGGATCCACTTTGTGGGGATGTGCCCCCCACCAGCTCCAAGCTCAGTGTTTCAGCAGTTTCTGTATCATCTATGATGGCATGATTGTCTCAGCCACCCCAGGGATTGAGGCTGCTGCTTCTCCTGTATTCCCCAGGAATTCAGCGGTTAGCTTCCCTGGCTCTAAGCTCAGCCTCCTCACTCAAACCAGTAATGAACGGAGCTCAGGAAAGGCTGGAAGGAGCAAGTACACAAATGAAAAGTAGCTTTTGAGATGCCTGATTTTGAGACATCTGAGCCCTGTTAGAAGTCAATACCCCTTCAACCCATTCTGTAAGGCTGTGGCGTTCCTTCACCTCTCTTCTGAATCCATGGGTTGTTCTGACATCTCTCTGGCAGCTGCCTTGGTGAGACTCCAAATTTCCATGCTTTCTTTTGTTAAAGAGCAGAGAGATGTCCAGAGAAAGGTGCAGACAGGAGCTCTTTAACAGGAAGACTTTAACAGGCTTCAGGTGTCTGTCAGCAGGTGAGTTCACTTAGTGAGTGTAACTGAAAACTTAAATGGGTAGGGACAAGAGGACAGGGGGAGGGCACAGTTCCTCCGCCTGGGAATTGGAAGCATCTAGTAGGAACATATTCTATTCTGGGTGGTTCCTGTGGATTCCAGCGAGGAGGCAAAGCTACCCAGTATTCTTCTTCCCAACTACACCTAGACCAATAGACCCTACTCTTGGGCGGCTGTGGTTCAACTGCTTCAACATGGCACAGCAATGAGGGAACTTGACATGGGAATATGGGTGACATACTGGTGACAGATGCATACGCTTAAGGGCAAGATTTGCTGTTTTGCAACCATATCGCTTTGCTACAATAAGAGTGTATTCGTTTTTTTTTTTATCTCTGTGACCAAAGTATCAGAGAAAACTAACTTAAAACAGGAAAGATTTACTTTGACTCACAATTTCAGAGGATTCAGTCCATGGTTGGCTGGCTCTGTTGCTCTAGGCCTGAGATGAGGCAGAACATCATGGCAGAAGGGCATGGTGTAAGAAAGCTGCTCACCTCGTGGCTGCTGGTGGGACAGGAGTGAGGGGAGACAAGATACGGCATCCCTAAGGGCATTCCTTTAAGGACCTACTCTCTTCAACTAGGTCCCACCTCTTATAATTTCTACCACCTTCCAATGGTCCATTCAGTTATCAATGGATTAATCCATTGATGAGGTCAGATTCCTCATGATCTAATCATTTTCCATAAGCCCCACCTCTGAACATTGCCTCACTGGGGACAAAACCTTTATTTTATTTTAACTTTTTCTGATGCATTGTAATTATACATAAAATGAGATTTGTTATGCTATATTCATACATGCAC